GCATTTCTTTCTAATATATTTTTTCGGGATCCAGGTAATTACCTGATTCTTACTGCTTTGAAAACTCATCTTTCACTTTTTACTGATTATTATGTTGAAAATTTTTAAAGCATTCTTTGATACCAAACATTAGGACAATGATTGGATACATGTTCTCTTCATGATAAAGCTTTAGTTATTGATTATAATAGGCATAAAAATGAATTTCATGATGCTTTTGTTAAATCTATACATTATCCTTATACTCGAAAGCAACTAGAAGAAATGTCTGCTAAATTTTTATTATCTTTATTTATTGATATTCAAAATAAACATGGTCAAAGTAATATAATTTCTTTAAAACAATATTCTAAATGTTTTTTAGCAGCATTTAATGCAAATGTTGATATTCAATGGTTACCAATTGGGTATCATGCTTTAAAAAAGCCTTCAAAAGACAAATTTTGTGATGCAACAAAATGTAAATTATGCGTATTAGAACCAGGCAAAGTATTGATATACAGGCATGCTTATCATATACAATGTCTTCATTTATTAAATAATTTATGTCCATATTGCTTTAAATTTTATGAAAAAAAAATTCACAAACTAACAAAATCTTATTTAGATCGATTGAAGCTTGGAATTAATGAGAATGAAATAATTGAACCTGACAATAATGAAGTTGAAGATGATAATGAAAATGAATGCGAATATAAAAATAATAATGATGATATTGGTCAAATTGAAATAGATAATAATATAAGCAATCGTCTTGATGCAGCTTTACGCTTGTTTTAAATATTTATTTAATGTTAAATTTGATATGTACAAATGTTTTTTTATATAGTATAATAAAAATAAACATGCTTTGCTATTTTTGCTTACAATCGAAATTATAGTAGTACGAAATATAAATAACGCATGATCATCTCTAAATTTTGGTGTCCATTTTTAAAATTTATTAGCCAATCATAATGAACTTCACCTATGCTGATGCCGATAAAAAAAGATAGGAGGGGGTTAAATATGATGTATTTCAGGGGTTTAGTTGAGATACAGCATACAATTTCAGGCAGGGGAACAAGCAATTGCATAAATACAGTAAGGATGATCAACATAACGTAATAACGTTAAATGAATATTGTTACATTACGTATCATTAACAGTTAACGTTAATGGATAAAGAATCTGTGAATACCTGCTTCGAGCCTCGTTATTTTTTCAATAATGAGAATATTCCATTCCACATTTGGAATAATAAAACATGGTATATAATCGCTGAAGCGAAAGTTGCATTTCATAAAGATGTATTCCAAAAAGTTATCGTGTGTATCATTTGAAATTTTTTTAAAAGACAAAAATTTTTTTCAAGTTGTATATTTAAAATTCAAGTTTATCTATTAGGAACGCTGGACAAAAGAAGTTCATTTGATAATTCCACCTATAGAATATGCTGAAATTATTAATGACATTGAATTGGAAAATGACAATATAGATCATAATGAATTGCACGAAGAATCTTTAACCATCAAACCTGTAAGAACAATTCTTAGAAGGTTAATACCAAAGAGAAAAGATAAAGATGAAGAATTAGAAGAAATGA